TCAGTGACATAGATCCAAAGCTTAGGCTTTCAAAATCTGCAGAGGAGCAAAAAACAAAGTTAAACGAGGTCGAAGTACTAAGCATCACTTGGAGTGTGGCTAGAGTTTGTACCACTTTGGCAAAACACTCTCACGTTGAAGTGCTGGCAGCCTCCTGCTTAAGTACTCCTCAAAGTAATCAGTGGAATAAGTCGCACCTGTCACCCAGCACACCTGAGAGCTCCAGCACCACCTGAGAATGAGCACATGTAGCAAGCACAAAAACATAAACACAAACCCAGATCTTGACACTTTATTGCCCAGTAGTCAGACAGGACAGAGGATGGAGAGAGAAGGGGAGAACATGCAGCAAATGACCTGAGACTGGGAATCAAACCCAGGTCAACTGTGTTGAGGACTATAGCCTCATGGTTCTCATGTTCTACCAACTGAGCCACCAGCATCCCTTGTTTTTTATAGTTTAGGTTTATGTGTTCGCTACTTTGGCCAGGTCTAACTTGTGACAGATATTTCTGATCTTAGTGAGACTTTATGGTTAAATAAAGAGACTTCTCACAGTAATGCTCTGTATTTAGCTCTGTTTGTCTTCCCATCAACCCTGACCTATTTCCTGTCCCACAGCATAATGCTGCCACCAACCATGAGTCATAGTGGATGCATTTTTCTACAAAACAGTGTTTTACATGTAGGCCAAAAAACTCAGTTTAGGTCCGGTTTGACCAGAGTACTTGCTCACACAGGTGATATTTAATAATTATGTGTTTTCTTAAGAGAAGTGCTTGTACTGAATTTTGATTCACATATAATCCCAGTACAATACATTGACATTATGCTAAGGATATAAACTACTTAAACTATTAAATTTCTGATATTTACATTAATGATTTAGTTTTGCTGCGATAGACTGGCAACCTGTCCAGGGTGTACCCCGCCTCTCGCCCATAGACTGCTGGAGATAGGCACCAGCTTCCCCGTGACCCACTATGGAATAAGCGGTGGAAAATTACTGACTGACTGACTGACTGACTGATTTAGTTTTGTGTCTGTCTGATTTGGTTCACCACCCTTTTCTGCTTTGTTTCAGAGAGTTTTATTCCTGCTACGAGGAGCCCCATCTGAAGTTCATCTGCTCATCTGTCGGCCCCCTCCTGGAGTGTTTTATGAAGTAGATGACAACACACTGGTAAGCTAAAAAATACAAAGATCACTCCTAAAAAGTTGCAATGCATACAGTGATTTATAGCAACTGTCCTATATTTGGCTAACCCTGTAGAGTCCAGCGCTCATTCGTGGGATTCGGTCCAGATCTTTGGACATCTGGCTCGGAGAGGACTACAGCCGGCTCCTTAAGTCTCCAAGTGATGTCAACGTGCATGATCAGCTGGTACCCCCCACCAAGGAAGAGGGTCTGACCAACAGCACAGAGAAAAGCCCAGATCCTCCTGCAGCTATGCAACCCACAGAAAGCGAGATTAGTCTGGAGGATGATATTCAGCAGGCCTTCCCTCCTCCTCCGTCTCCTCTTCACACACCTCCCTCCCCAACATCACCTACATCTCCTCCGTCACCAGTGTCACCAGCATCACCCACCTCACCTGCTTCCCCTGTGCCTACCTCTCCACCGAATCCACCTGAGCCACAACCAGCTGCTGGGAAACAAGGAGAACAGGAGGAAGGAGATGCTGAAAGGAGGAAAAGGGAAGAAGAAGAGGAAGCATCAGCAACACTGAGCTCAGCTTTGATGCTTATGGACGTTTATTCTAAAACTGCCTCTAAACCTGTTTATTCCAGGTACCCTATAACATACTGACTTGCACTTAGCAAATGTTTATTGTTTATTGTTTTTTTTTATTATTCCCATATAGCTTTTAGTACCAAATAAAAAGTTTGCGCTAAAATATTTCAGAGGATTATGTGGCGCTGCCTTGGCAACAAGTTTAATTATTATAAACTTCTCAAACTGCCACATAAAAATTGCCTTGCAAAAGTATTTATTAACTTTTTCTCATTTTTGTAATTTTATTGTGATTTGTTATGATGGACCACTACAAAGTAGTTAACAATAAGGAGACTTCTGAAATCTTTTGCACTGAATTTTTTTTTGGGGTAACGGGTAAAGGGGCCTGAATAAAAATGCCAGCCACACTTTTTGTTGTAAAAATTTTAGGAAAACACTTATCTTTCTTTCACTTTACAATGATTTGGTACTATGTGTTTGTCACATAGAGTCCCACTGAAATACATTGATGTTGATTGTTTTAATGTCACAAAATGTGGATAGTTTCAGTAGGTGGGAATACTTTTGCAAGGCCCTGTAAATGTCCCATCAAGTTGTACGTTTAGTGTTGTTCAAATCCAGCTAAAGTATATTAAAATATTACACATTCAGACATATGGAATGATGCATCTGTGTTAAATGTTTTTTTCACACATAAATAGATGTCAGTTTGTCGAAGAATTAAAGAAAATTTGGAGAAAATATTTTTTAACTACTCTACATATTTTATACTGTGTTTGCGATTTTGCAGTGGGGTCAGAGAGGAGACAGATGGAAGTGTGACTTACTGCCTTATGGGAAATGGACTGACTATCATGGCCGATGAAGAGTACCTGACCATCAGCTCCACCCTAGAGCCCCCTCACAGCCTTCCCTCCAACAGCACACCAACAACCAACATTGAAGCCCCCAACTTTCAAAATAAGAACAGTTTTCCATCTCCAAACCCCACTCTTCATGTTCCCAGCACCTCCAACATCACACCCTTCAACTTCTCATCTGACACACCGGCCACTTGCCCCCTCTCCTACCCATCTGTGCCGCTCACAACGCAGCCCCCGAAAACAAAGCATCACCTGATCCAACAGGGGCTTCTTCCAGGCCACTTCAAAGCAGCATCAAAGAACATTCGGGCTACGGTTCCTCCCCCGCAGCCTCCGCCCATAACACCAATCACAGCCCAGATTATCCCCTCAGTGCCTCCCTGCGCTGGAGTGCCCACCCCAACGCTGCCTTCCACAGTGCTAACTTGTTCTGCCCAGATCCAGTCTCAGCTGAGAGAAGAACCAGAGAGGAAAGAAAGGGACTACAAAGATGATTTTGATGAAGAACTGGATGAAGAGGAGGAAGAGAGTCGAAGGAAGGCAAGAAAAATTTCACTAATATTCAGTTATCAAAGTTTTCAATGTTTTGCAGAAAGAAATGAATTAATAGATGTGTTTGACTCCGTTTGTCACGTTTTAAAATTGCTATGAAATAGATTGATCTTTATGCAAAACAAAAATAAGTTTCTATGATCCACTATGAAAGAACTAATATTACCAATAAGCATGAATGTTCGAATTAAAGGATTATGTTTTGCAGGATATGCAAAAGTTTAAAGGGATAGTTTTTTTAATTTGTCAGGTTGTCATTGTTTGGTTTGTGAAGGACTGTGTTGAACCCCCTTTTGCCTTCAGAACTGTATTAATTATTGATTCAAAAAGGTGTTGGAAACATTCTCCTGGGCTTTTGGTCTATATTGAGTCCACTTTGTAGTAACGAGTGGTTTTTAAACTACGGTTGCTTTTTTTTTTGTCTTGACCAAATCTGTCGATTCTCTTCTGGCCCCCTAATAAAAAAAAAAAAAAAAAGCATTTTTGTTTACTCAATTTCCCTTCACTTGATATCTTCTCTGTTTCTGGTCATTCCCTATAAAAATAAAGGATAGTTTTGTGTCAAAGCTTTTTTGGCATAAAATTTCCCTGTCTGATGCTCAGTTTGAACTTCAGCAAGTCATTTTGACCTCCAGAAGCCTAAATGCATTGAGTCGCTGCAGTGTGATGGGCTTATTCAATTATTATTGTAAACAAGCAGTTTAACAGGTGTACCTAATAACGTGACCAGCAAGTGTATATTTAATGTCTTGATGTAAACTGCAATTGTAAAAACTGCTGTAGTTTTGAATAAAGTGTATATTCACATTGTTTCTACCCTTTAGGGCATGATTAAAGAGTTTGAGCTCACAGTGGTTCTGACCAAGTCCAGAAGTGGAAGCTTTGGGTTCACCATCACTCGTAGCAAGCTTGATAATTGCTACTACATACAGGAAATATTGGACAACCCCGCCAAGGCAGATGGACGACTCAGGGCCGGGGACAGGCTTATCACGGTGAACATCAAAACACCCATCTGCACACTCTTTTTAGGAGTGAGATGTGTGCTTTTACTCTTCTGTCATTTCCTTCAGGTAAATGGGCATTATGTCACCAGTGTGGCAGATGATGTTGCCATGACTATACTCAGGTCATCTCCCAGAAGGCTGAATATGACCCTGGGCAGAGCAGTCAGCAACCTCGTAGCTCCACCTCCCTGTGACAGTCTGCCTGACATCGTTCTCCACAAGACCCCTTCAGGACAACTGGGTGGGAGCCAGTAGAATAATTGTTTCTTAGACTCACCAGTTAGATCAATCAGTGGTATCTGAATGTATGTGTGCTTTTGTCCTTCCCAGGAATAAAGCTGACAGGTGGCGTTGGCAGCAAATGGCAGGGAATCTACTGCTTGGAGGTGGTGCCAGGCTCTCCAGCCAGTGAGGAGGGCAGCGTCAAGCCCAATGACAAGATCCTGTACATCTGTGGCAGGTGCACCCTGGGAATGACTTTAGAGGATGCAGTCAAAGCCTGTGAGATTGCCCCTCGTAAGGTCAAACTCAAAATTATCCGGTATGTGTTCATCTTAGGCTAAAAACAGAGATACTTTCTTAGGTTAGTGTTTTATTTTTAAGTTTATCTGTGGCTTTTTGGTTTCTGTGTCACAGGGAAGACCAGCCAGTTACTTCTAAAGCTAAGTGGAACGGTGAGTTAAATAGCTTAAAGTGGTTGACAGGATTGTTTGGATGTTATGCATCATTTGCACCGAAGAACTGCTTAGAAACCAGATATGTTTGTGTTGAGCTGAGTGTGATTATTTGAGCTCATTCATTACCAGATAAGTATTACCTAAAACTAAATAATGACTTTTGTTTGCCAAGATGGTATGCCAGGTTTTGTATATTTAAAAGAATTTTTTCATAAACAGGCCTGTTTGACTGGAAAAAGGACAAGAAGTTCTTTGCCCGTTTTGAGGAAACTGTCTCTCCTGAGAGAGAGTTTGCTGTTGAAGATAGTAAGTATTCCTTCGTTTCCCTCATTTAATTCTCCAGTTAGCTCCTCCAAACTCTCCATGAGCATTTTCTGTTTGTAATATGGTTCCATGTCAGGCTTCAGTGTATTGTCCTAGTGTCAGTGTGAAGCTGAGCTCGGTGCTAACAGATACCTCTCTCTGCTGCTTTGTGTGTGAGCTCTGAATGCTGACAGACAGATCCTGGGCTCACACAGTGGAATTAATAATTAGCAAGCCCTCCACTAGAGTATTGGACTGCAAAGGCAGTGCCATCACACTCAGAGACACACACACACACACACAC